CCCCAAAACCCCAAAACCCCAAAACCCCTGTATGCACGGGCAAATTGGCAGGACATATTTATAAATTTTTAAAGAAAATGGAGAATGTGAGTACCAGTTGTTTCTTTACATTTCTTACCTAATGCTGGGTTTAATGATAAAATAGAAAGGAAGAACGCAGTTTTTGTATAAACCTGTTAAGTACATAAAGCCCATGCCGATAAAGCCAACTGCAGCATTAGTGAATGATCGGTAAGATTTTAGTTGATGTTTTATTAACCTGTTGGAGTAGACTTTCATTGAACCAGGAAGGAATTAGGCAAGGACCCATTTTACTTGAAAATAAGTGCTTTACGAATAATTCTGGTCTGAATTTAAGTGGTTCAGCTTTTGCAAAATACTCAAACGAGAACACCAATGTTGCAAAAGTGGTAAAAACCAAGACACCGAAAGAGTCCAATGACTCTAGTCCTGTAACTAAGACATCAGGGGATGCTGAAGAGCTTAAAGATGAGCTTTGAGATAGGAGCACTAGCAACTGCGGTCTCTACAAACCATTCGAAGGAAAATTTACTCTCAGGAAGGATGTGGTTTACAAGAATCTTTTCAGAGCTATAAGAGCAACTGTTTGGGATGATTTTGTTAATATAATGCCTCATGAAAAATACTCTCGCGGCAGGTCAGGATGCACTTTATTCCAACAGAAAGTTATGGAGTTCTACCTCAAACACACAAATTATAAAGAAGTAGTCACTAAGATCTTTCATGAAAGTGCTGGAGGGGAAGTAGCTTTTGTAGAAATTTTAGCTTCTTTCATGACGTCTAGAATATTTTTCAAGACTAAGTCTGTACAAACTCGTAAGATTGCAAAGGACATCAAAGTGATTGTAAAGAATTATAAGTCAAATCTGATGATGAAAATAATGAAGCATGAACGATTATGGCTGTTTTTCCAAGTTCTTGATGAAAGCGGAAAAGCTCTTGAAATCATCAGATCCAGAAATGCCTGGATGACAGATGAAAATAGGAAGAAAGCTGTGGAAGACAGGTACATGGAGGGTATCAGAACTATCGCTAATTATGGAAGAGACCGCCAATTGTTATCAAATTAGACAGAATTTGACCAAACAAGTGTTTAAATTCAATATTTCACTTATAATACTAAATTTCAATCTGTAAAAATACGAATGGGGTTTTGGGGTTTTGGGGTTTTGGGGTTTTGGGG